CTCTTGCATCAGATATTCACTCACAGCTCTAAGATTCCAATCGACAGTGACAAAATCAAGCTACTTGTAGGTTCTCTATAGAGGCAAAAACGCATCCGAGACATCTCTGACGCTTGCCGGTAAGCTATTCAAACGAAGCCACCTCATCGATATCCAGGCTGTCAACAGAAACTTGGCGATCTTCAGGTTGTTGTTCAATCCTTCGGGCTCCCTTTGACTAGAACCATAGCTTGAATTACTGGTCTGTGTCGCACACAGCCAAGATCCACTGTCCCGCAAATACATTCGTAAATGTCTCTTCCGCTCCGACATTTTGAAGTCCATTAATCCAGAACTTGTATACTGCAACATCCTCAGGCGGGCTGAAATGCCATAAGTTCCATGTCTCAAGGTCGAAGGATCCATTCGGTGCTTGCCTGTCGATATGATGATTATTCCTATGTGCTAGAAGGCCGACGAGACCCAACAGGCGGATGGACACATGCCACGAGCTATTGTTATCGGCAAGACTCTCGCAGTACCCCAGGATGTGGATGATATCGAGACTACTTTGATAGTCAGTCTCTCGCATTTGTGATCTCACACGATCACATCCTTCTGGCATAAATGCCAACTATACCCCCGCAAGGAAAGGTGGGAGCTCAGCTGCTCCGTTCTAATCCGCATTTGCTACAATGTCTCCGTCAACTCAACCTTGACAAACTAAAATCAAATCACAACAGTCAAGTCGGCAGCGCGAAGCCGTTGCATCAGCAAGGACTACTTATTGCATGAGAATCCTCGACAGTCGTGGAAACCTCGATTTAGTGGGACTTCACAATGGACCCGTCTTCTACGGTTTGTTCAACATCAAGAACATCGTCAGCCAGTCGACTTGCTCGACTGAAAGCCAAAATACGAAAAGCACGATGCCGCGTGCGTTCGATCATCACCGTGTTATCCACCCTGTTGCCCTTGACATCAACATTCGGGGGGCGCTCCCCTTATGTTCCGCCATTGGCGAGGATCTGCCCACTTCTAAGATGCCTACAGCCATCTGTCTCCTCTATTCTAGTGTTGTGCGCCAGCATACCCACTTTACTGGGAGTTCAGCTTCCTGGCTTCTGTTGCGCTGATTAAGTCATCACGAGGAGTCGAAATGGTTTGATTGTGCTGGGAGAAGAGCAGGGGAGTACTCACATTGTTGTCTTTTAAGGCATCATGAGCGCCAATCCAGTTCTGACCACCACGGACAGCGCTGCCGACATGCTGAAGCTCCGAAAGCTGGCTTCAGTCTTCCACTGGTATTAGCCTTCCTCCATGCTCGAGTTCTGCGAAGTCAGACAGCTGAACGAAGACAGGTTCAACGATCCGGGCAAAGCCGACCGTAAGGTGCTTGAGGAATTGGAGACTAGATGCCTGACTTACGTCAAGCCAGCGGTCAAGAAATACCAATCTGCGGAGACCATGGCGTTCGCATGGAACCTCAAGCATGGAATACTAAGAATATGAAGAGCGATGCTCTAAGATAGGCCAGCGCGGAGAGGTCTGCAACCACAACTCTGGCTCCGAGGCAGACCGTCTGGAGATGAGCAGGAGTCGAAAGTCGAGCTACTGGCTCGCGTCCCACGAACCTCTATCGACGGCATCTTCTGGTTACATTTGGAGTACCTGTTGTAGATTTTGCAAGGCGAGGCTCCGCCCCTTCGGAATGTCATGCTCGACAACGTTCTCCTGAACATGTGCACTTATGGGCTTAGAACGGGGCAAAGTCTATGGCCGAGCTCTCATGGTAGCTGGCGGGAGCCCTGCATAGTCTTGCTCTTCAATTTCGCGCGACTGTGGAAGGTCATCATTCGCATTGTTCTGGACATTGTCCGTGATGACCAATTGCTTGGAGAAAACTGGCTCAGGGCTACCAGCTTGTCGTTCGATCGTATCTCCTGCGAGCCGTTGCATGCGCACGTCACCCGCAGAATTCTCGACAGGATGCTCGAGAAAGTGGGTGCGGTCTTCCATCGTGCTCATCGGCTGGAGCAGTTGGCGAGCGCGTCAGATGCTGTCTATCGCCGTTCTGCGGCACAAAGTCAGTCGGAATTGTCCACTTCAGCCTGCCCTGAAGTCGTATGTGAATGGATATGGTGGCATCGCAAGGGAGCTTGGTGGGCAGGACATTGAAAGCGTTGGTTGGTATTTCAGGCTGGAGACACATACACAATGGTTACGGTGCTGTGATTCCTCTTTAAGAACACAGAGGACCTTTTCGGGTGGTATATCAACCTCGGCAATCGGCATGCCCGGCCGCAACGTTCGGCATTATGGAACGCCATGGCCGCGCCTTGCATCTTTGACTCGAAGGATACATGCGATGAAGTGGGTTCGTATAACCCGAAAGTTCGTGTGGCTGACGGTCTCGACCATTCATCTAACACGCAGGTGACAGAACGCAGCCCGGGCCAACGGGACCGTCGTGGTTGTAATCGATGAAGAGGCGTTCGCCGCGCTCACAAATAAAGCCATCAATGACGTCCAACATGCTGATCATGATTAGGAACAGCATTTGGGTGTGCCTGAGAGAGGGTTGTGGACCATCCGGGCTGGAATGGCGGATTTGGCCAGACCGTCTATTGGAATCTTACTCTGAGAATGGCAACGCCAAGAATTGAATAAATGACCATAATTCTCATTCGACTCGAGTCGCACGTCAGGCTGGCGGCCTTGTCGGGGTATTGATCGGAGCCACCCGGCGCAACTTCGTCCACGGAGGCGGACGCCACTGGGTCGTGGGACCGAGGCTACACGGTAGCCATCGGCGTCCATACCGAGGTCGCATCCAGGCAGAGGCAATTTCATGGATAGCATATGGCTTACGGATGACAATATGAATGAAAGGGCAGTGATACGAACAGACCGGGGGGCTTGAATGACAGGCTTGCTCAGGAGCAGACAGGAATTTTCAGTGTTCCAGCGGATTCCCTGACGCTCTCTACTCTGCTAGCCGCAAGGAGAGAATTAATACTTTAAGACTTGGATGTAGAACCAGATTGGTGAGCTCAATTATCAAGAGGCGATCCGTGTTATTGACAACTTAGTTCGTTATTGTCTGCGATAATGATGCGTACGTCTGCTTCGGAGAACTCAAACTATGGTTGACATGCGGTCGAGCGGAGGATCAGGCGCGACGCCAAAAGAAACGATAATGCATTTTCTTATGGAAAGACTTTTTGACGGCAAAGCAGTGAATAGGAGACTCACTCTGTACAATGGGCTTGAAGTTCGCAGGATGCCAACAAGTCGACATCTACCTTGATGTTTGTCAGAATCGCATTGATAATGAACGAATCTCCTCGCTTGTTCATGACTTTCATGTCTCAAGCCCGCAGGCGACCTATTCAAAGCTCATGTTACTTCCAACCAAGCGTGTCGCGAAAAGACTTGTGTCGAATCAGTTCCTGAGCCACACATCACGCGTAGAAAACCACCCAGACTCCCTGTCAGCTGCCTTCCCCAATAACCCAAATGAAAGGCGAGAACGAAAGCAATATGTACGACAACAATTTTTTAGGAGACCCTACGGACAAGCGCTCTTCAGACCCCGAAGCCGACGACGACGACACGCAAGAGGGAGACTGTCCCATCTGTGTCATTCTTGTCAGCCAGCGCAGTCCTTTCTCCTCTTTCTCTGCCAGATGGACGGACTCAATCATTCGTTTCGTCTTGACAAAGGCACGCGAGCCAGGAAAAACACTCAGTCACAATGAGAAGAAGTCACAAGCCAAAATTTGCAACATGGTGACGGCATACTGCAGGTCAAATGGACTGACCAACGGGCACATCAAGTCCTTGGTTCTGTGCAGCGATTGCGATGATTTGGTGCAGTTCCTTGGCACAAGGCATTATTCGAGCCCCATCAGCGGTTAATGGCCGACGTAAATCTGGAACTAAAGCATTCGGCACTGGATGAGCGATCTCCAACAGCCAACGCCCATGACGTTGTTGGGTGAGCGGGCTGGAAGGGCAACAGGCCTCCAGCGGCCTGCGGGGAAGCTCTTACTCTCAAACACAGCAACCAAACGACATATATTAAAGAAACTCTCGATCTCGAATTCGCATTGCGAAAGAACTGAAGGATGGCATGTATACTCCCCCTTCCTTCCAACCGTGGGGTGCCAAACCAGCTCATCATCCCATGGGGTATCAGGATGCAGGGATCTCATGCCGTCTATTTTTCCAGCTGCTGGTCAATTCACAGCAGATGTCATGGGGGTGCAGGATAGCTCATCTCCCTAGGCTCCTCGCAACAAGATGCGCCCAGCAAAGCCCCAAGTCTAGATTACGCAGGGAGATTTCGAAGAGTAAGTCCGTCAGCATTACGTGTTTCCCATCTGATGAGTGAGCTCCCCGATTGAAGCTTTGATAATCATCGTGCACGCGAAGTTCGCCTTCTTCGCACTCTAGATGGGCAGTACTGCAGAGCATGTCTGGGGCGGGAACTTTGACGTGCGCTGAGAGACTTGACTTCTGGCGGTGGGCGCCACTCTTTGGATAAACCCAACTTCGATCATTTTGAAATTCTCTGAGATGCAACAGATTCAACTGCATTGTAGAGGAAATCGCGACTTGGCTGAGGCGTGGGTGCCGACGGTCGATGACCAAGTCCAGCCCGACTCATCCTGTGCCGAAAGTGGGTCGGGTCCGGAGGCTTATCCTTATCTCCTATCGCTATCTTATCGATTTTCAGGCAGGAGGCCCAAGCGCATGTGCGACGGGACATGCACTGGGGTTACGTCATACCACGACCTTGATGAGTGCCCAGGTGGGGCACTGAGCTTTTCTGACCAATGAGAGAGCTTGTGTGACACACAACCTCAAGGTGGAAGTAGCGGTTTCTTCTTTCGGCACCACGGCCCTGACAATTTCTTCCTCACAACCCATCCGGCACTCTGCAAGGCTTTGCGACCGCATCGACATTTTCGAATAGCAAGCAATTTTGCCGCATCTTCTCCTGAGAGCTTGATGCAATGGCACACTTCGGACGACACAAGAAGAAGACCAAACGCAGCGCTGCGAATCTACGCGGTTAGGAAACGCGCAGACGCAATGCGGAAGTGAAAGCGGAAGCCGCACAGCCAGACTCCGGCTTCGACGAGTCCGTCCCTGCTCCCAAGGTCTGCCCCATGTCACCACTTTTCTCGTTCATGTTCCTCAATCTGACCGTTGATAGCCGACGACTTCTGACCCTGAGCCGGCCGCTTCCAATGGCGCCGATGGCGCTTCGATCGCCCCTGCTACGGCCCTGGCAGTCTCCGACGGCCCGCGTCCTTCGACCCCTCCCGCTCCGACCGCGACGGCGCCTTCTGCTCCACCCGCTTCTCCGACTGCAATCGCACCAGGCCCAAGCAGCTCATCCTCCGCGAACAAGACACTTGCCGCCTTTGACGCTGCGCTCGTGCCTCCTCGCGAGTTCCACCGAGGCCCGGAAACGATTCCGGAGCTGAACAAGTACTCGGACAAGGTCGCAGCCATCACTGGCTATCACGTTTCCGCATACAACAAGCGCGTGATGCTCGAGTTCCATCTCGTCGGCTCGATGGACCAGTTGTTCGTATCCGAGTACGACGCAAGCTGGGCGGCCCATCAGAAGGTACTCGACTTTTGGGCTACTCAGCCCCGCGGGCGTGCTTACGCCGTCGGCAGGGGCAATGTGCAGACGGCCTATCTCGCTATGGCCGTCATTGGCCATCGAAACGACTCCTCCAGGGGACTGGAAATCCAGGTGGTTTGGCAGGGGCAGCCGTTGGGCGTCGCAACATGGGAACTGTACCACTGGCGTCGTGGCGGCATTCCCGAGGCTATGACGGATGCGTATTGGCGCGCCGCAGGCATCGTACCGCCTGCGAACATGGCCGACTTTCCAAAGTGCGAGCCTCAGGGCGTGAACCTGGCAGACGTATACATTCCGGAGAAAACGTTCCTTGACTTGGGTTCCACCTGGACCTCAGGCAACTTCGCATTCGAGGCATTGGAGGAGGAGCGCCAGGTGGAGGGCAGCTCGTTTCGCATCTACGTCGGAGGCACTTGTTGGTACCGAGGATGACATGATTGGGGTTTCGTTTGATGCAGATACGCGGAGCAGGGGTGGATCAGAGCAGCAGATGTGACCACCTAATGACAGCACATGAGGGCTCAAGAAGTTGTTGAACATCCATCCTATGACCTGCAGGTCTTTTGTGCAATCATCACTATGTCTTCGCATCTCAAGGCTTGGAGTGCTTCAAGCTGGCGATGGTGGGACAGATTTAGCGGGTCAAGTGCTTCACTGATCCTGTTGTGTGATGCCATCTGTTTAGCTGACTGAGCGATCTGGACTGCTCTTAATTTGTCATGTTCACTGAGACCAAGGGAACCCGGCTTTCGACCGATCGCAGGTCAATTGAGATGCACTGTTGGGTATTGGGCGCTGGCAGAAGCAGAGCGTCTTCAATATCTTGGTGTGCGCCCGAAACGAATGGGTCATCCGCAACCATGATGTCAAAGGCCTTGAAACACTACCTTTATCATCGGCGGACATCCCATCGCATGTACTATTACTTTCGCCTGCTGTACTGAATGCACTCTGCCGATATCCGCGAGGGCATTTCCATGTGATGTTTCGGGGTACTGCCAGACCGGAAAAGCTTTGTGCATCTTCATGCGATGTGCACTAAAGGGAAAAAAACCACAGGATGTCAAGGTTTAATTTAGCCTTCAAGCAATGCTGGCGTTGATGCGACACCAGGCTGGATCCGCTTGGGTGCAAAAGGTGGTTCCACGATGGCTTCACTTTCAGAGCGACCAAATTTGGAAGCATCTTGACAACATTGTGAACACTGACCAAAGACAAACACCACGAATACAATTTACAAACCTAAACCACCCACCATAAGCCTGCAGACCGACACACCTTGGTGCACTTCCTGAGTAGGCCGAGCTCCACCAGCTGCCTCTGGAGTCCCATCCCTTCAGGCAAAGCAGCACAGGCAGACCAGCACAACCCACACACACACCCTCGGTGATCCAACCGTGTCTACAGAACATCCCAACCCGCCATCTCCCTGTCTCTCGTCGAAAGTATGCTTTGATTTAGAGTGAGCGCGCTTTTGAAATGTTCTCACTATGCTCCCTAACTCCCTGTCCTCGTCCAGCGTGACTTCCACACCTGACCCTTCGATCCTAGTTCCAGACCTCGGTATGCATTGCGTCGATTCGCATTTTTCGAAGGGAAGATATGCTTTCCACAGCCGTCCTCCAACACCAAGTTTCCAGCCATACCAATTCATGCACGCCCATTTGGAGTCGCCTGCCAGCCCAGCGCAGGTACAAGATCCCAGACCGCGAGTCTCAAGGTATGCCACCACATCTGCTGTTGCTGACAGCAAATCTCCAATTGATTGACTAATTATTAGACAGGCCGTGGGCACACTGCACCCTGGCGCTGAGAAACGCAAAGCCGAGAGCAGCCGACATGCACTCTCATCCTGATCGACTTCACCGAACGCCAAACCATCACCATGCCCACCCACCGCCACCTTCATCAGGGTTCAACACCTCATCTGGATAGGCCAACTGGTCAAGCTCACAACCCACGGAGTATACTGCAGTCCAAGCATTGCCCAAAACCATGCTTTAATCCATGTTTGGCAGGGCAGATAGGCCCATGCAGGCCGTTGACGGCGTTGACAAAAGCGTCGCATTGCTGGGCTGCATGTCAAAGGCCGTGAGAGCGGTCTTAATGGGAACGGCTAGCTGGCGCAGGCAAGGGAGGTCGGGGTCCTGGCGAGGACGACACCTGCGGCTAGATCTCAGAGCTCGCGTGTCAAACGTAGTGATGGCTTTGAGACGCCTGTACGCTTGCTTGACCATCGTCTTGGGCAATAGCGCCACTCCTTTGAAAAGAACAACTCTTCTACTCAGCCGCCGCCTCACAAGAGATGATGGCCATGATCCCTATCTCCAGCTCCATTGACCCGATCGCAGCCTTACACGCCTCCTACTTCGCCAAATCAACCATGCTCTCCCCGTCGGCACTCTCGTTCCTCAGACCGAGACATACGAGACTCAGACCAGGCTGCTACGCAAGATCCTATGCTTTCCTGGCAGCAAGGTGTCGCCATGAACCTCTGGGCACTCCGGGAGAAGCGCCAACGCTGCCAGCTTTTAAGAAATGACAGCTTTTAGGACACGCTATGAACATGTCAGAATGGCACCACCTTCTCTGCTCTCGTGTGAATCTGTCCCTGGTAGATCGGGTTTCTCAATGACTCCCTCGTGGCTTGTCATATCGAACTTGTCTACGACGGCGCCTACATCCCCTATGTCCAAGCCGGAGCTCAACGCTGCCCCTTCCCGTCGTCGTTGACAAGCAAGAAGTAACGGCCGGTGGGCAAAAGTCTCTGCGACAACGCTGCTAGGTACGATTTGGCAAACCAATGCGGGAATCCACATCTATCCCGCTTGGCTCCCAACTAGCTCACGCAACATCCAAGCACCTTGGTCGCCCTGGTAGCCCTGGCGGAGACATGACGGCAGCTGTGGTGTGCTGAGACAATCAGTAGGAACTTTCGGGGGTGGTATCACCCTTCTCCCGTCAACATTCGTCAACAGCCAGCTGACGAACCCATTCGCAAAGGCACATGTTCTCTTTCTCAACGTTGAGCAACCTCGCATTCCGACCTGAGGTCTACGATACCAATGTCCCTGGAGTTTCCTCGATAAACTTCTCCATTATTAGCGGCCGCATAAGTCACTCTCATTTATTTGGATCAAAGGAGAGCAGATTTCGTTCATGTGGTTGTATGACCGATGGCTTGGGTATGCTGAACCTTTGTGCTGCATGTGCCCAAGAGAGCGCGCTTCTCCGTTGTTCTCCTTGTGCCTGTGATCAGCAAGCCGCATGTGCCATTCCTCAACACCAGATGAATGCTGTGCAATCGTATTGAAAGTTTTTCAGGTGAAGGTGATAGTTCATATGGAGGAGGCACTGCGAAACGAGTGGTACAGAGGTTCGCAAAACTGGTGTCCGTTTCGCAAGTGTGTTCTTTCTGTTGAGCACGGGCCTTCCACTCCTGGAGCGGCTTAGCTGCATTGCAGGTCGCAGGGGTACCTTAACAGAGACTATGCTGATCAGTTCACGAGAGCCCGAAAGAGCTGATTAAATAAATCGCTGACAGCTGGCCTTCACAATAGACAGTCATCATGACGCAAGCCAAAAACAGCTGATTGTGTGTATTCCAAGCAAACAGCGTCAGCAATAAGCGGCTTCTTCCAACCTACCCAGCGCGTTATAAAGGTATCGTTGTATCCAGGCTACCATCTCGTCCACGTAGTAAGCAGCTTATGGCGCCAGTACTACTTCTACTTCAAGCCACATTTGAAGCACCATCTGCTTCCGGTGATTCGCGATGGCGCCGTAGCGTGTTGAGACTAAAACTCGGTTTGGGCTCTTCAGGGACCCATATTAGCGCACGGCGAGGCGTGTGTATCTGCCTGAAACGATTGAGCAAGCCGTCCGTCCCTCAATCCGTCCATGTATCGGGGCTTCTTCCTATTGATTCCAGCCAAAGATGCCTAATGCCGCATTGGAGATCGCAACAACATCGCGTCCCTGGAGGTCACCCGCCAGGTCGCGAGGTAAGATACCGCACGAAGTTCGTTCCCCTTGAGTATAACGATCGTTCGACATGGTCTGTCTTCGCGCAGAGTCGGTCGGCGGTCCGGTACCTTGCAGCATCTTCTCGTCGTGCTCTTCGAGTCAGGTGATGCTATATGCGGTCAGATTATTACTTATTGAATTACAGCACTAGATTAGAAGCGCGTCGATGGTTCATCTGCAATAACTAGCAAGGAGGTTTCCCCCCAACAGTCAGTTGTTCGTGTTCCGTACCTTCTTTTCGTAAAAAACTGGGCGGCTATCTCAAGGTTTGTGGAGAGAGATTGCCTATGCAACAACGCTGCGAGCGGGCGGTTAGTTGAGGATGCGTTGTGTTCTGCGTTCGCAATGGCGTCAACGTGCATGCTTTGAGCAGCGAAACCGTGCGTGTCAAAATGAGGGGTTCACAGTGAGCATAGCCGAGCTTTATCCAGAATGACCCAACTTCACGTGTTCCTCCTGTTCGTCGTTCACACCCATTTCGTCGGCGCACCATCTTCAAGCAGCTGGTTTGCGCACCGTTCCTGAAGCATCTGGACGATGTTGTTGTGGCCTCCTGACGATGCAGCCTGAAGAGCGGTGCCATAGACGCCACCTTGAGCGTTGACATCTGCGCCCTTGTCGACAAGCATCTGGACGATGTTGTCGTGGCCTTTATCCGATGCAGCCTGGAGAGCGTTGCCATAGCGGCCACCTTGAGCGTTGACATCTGCGCCCTTGTCGAGAAGCGTCTGGACGATGTTGTTGTGGCCTTCTGACGATCCCCAAAAGAGCGGTGTGCGACCCTCATTGTCTCTCGAGTTTACAGCATCGTTGTCTGAGGCAAGTAGTCTTGATAATACTTCGTCATGGCCATTTAATGCAGCCAGATGCACACTGTTGAGGCCATCCCTCGATTGGTATTGATGGTTTGTTTGCCAGAAGATCGAGACCCAAGTTTGGAATCGCAGATTTTGCATGTCATACAGCCGCACGATCTGCTTTTGCAAGCCCTCCTCCGTTGGGCGCCTTGCACCTCGCGAGTGTGAAGGCCAGTATATTGCAGAATATTCCAAAAAGGGGTTTCGGGATGTATCGGTATCTGGCTTCCGTCTATCAACCCAAAACCCACCGTCTTGAATGTCATTAAATGACAAATATTGAACACAGATTTGCGTCATTATCGTGTCTGAATCTGGTATGTAGAGGGAGTGCTTCCAACAGCTATCTGCTGAAGAGGCGGTAATATCCTGTGCGACTAGGAATTCCTTCGCTGTCTGGTGTATTAGATAGATGCGGTCGTCGTTGATAAACACAAAAAGCCCGCAAAGCTGCCGTATATGTAGCTTGAGGTTGGCGGAGTTAAGATCGAGGTCCTTGTGTACCTGAACAGTTGGTGAATCCGGGGCCAACTGGAAAGCCACAGCCATTTCCAAGAGCGTGAGCGGTCGGCGGGCGGCAACAACGATGTGAAGAAGAGTCTGCGCCTCTCTTTGTTGATTGGAGTTAAGGCGGCCTAATATGTTCTCGTACGCATCTTCCACCTTGGTTGGAAGAGTGTTGATCGTCTTGATGAAGGTACTTTTTGGCCATATGTGGCTGTTAGAAATCTCATCCATTACGAGGTGTAGCCAAAGATAGGTTCGATGCGGGACCGACAAGAGCTTTTCCTCTAACGCGGTCTGCGCTTCCTGGCTCATCTCAAGTTTGCGCCCGGCTCTGGCTACCTCGTGTCTGATAACAAGGTTGATCTCTTCGCTGATATCAGCATTGCTCTCTTCGCCAGCAAGACGAATCGTTCGAGGTTCGGGTATGTCGCGAAACTCAGATTCGATGTCCTGATAAGGCCGGCTAGTCACCAGAAACTTCAGTCGAAACTTTCTCGTAGATGTCGGTTGTCGGTTATAGAAGTTTGTTAGAAGCCTGATCGTCCTTCGTCGGTCTTCAAGGCAGCACTCGTCTAGAGCGTCTAGAACACAAGTGACGTTGACTGCTTCATCATCCGTAGCAGCAGCTGCAAAGATACGCCATAGCTCATCCACTTCAGTCTGCAGTTTCTCTCCATTCTTCTCAAAGGCCGTCGTAGCATGACGGATGAGTAGTGGTTGAGAATTGAAAAGCTGATGAAGAAGAGCACATAAAGCTGTCGCTACGTTATTTTGGTCGTCGTTATCCTTGAAGAAGAAGTAGCAAGTTGTATGGTGGTCTGTAGATCGGAGCTCCCCATCGATGAGAGACTTGGCTAAAACAGATTTTCCACAGCCTGGGTCGGCTGAAATCCAAAGGAGATCATCGTGACAGCTCTTCCGCCATGTTTGGTATAGTGGATGCTCTAAAACCCATTTGCATGTGCCCGAGACCCGATCAGGGTTGATGTTCTTGAACTGCTCATATGTACTCGTTTTGAATGTTCGATGGCAATCGAACTGTTTTTGGCTTTCGTATCTGATCTCCTGCTTCTGTGTCTGTTCTTCAATAATATCGTGAAGGCGAGGATCTGCAATAAATATTAGCATCTGGTTTCCACTTTGTCACAAGGGAAACATTCAACTCCAAAGATAAGCTTAGACCAAGCGAACTTGCGAAAAGCAGATAACAACTAGCCACTTTTTCTGGTATACGAGATCTACTCACCACACACTAATTGCGGTATAGGCTTCTCCTGCAGGACCCTATCTGGCGGTATGACTGAAAGAAGCTCCTTTGCAAAAGCGGCTGCTGTTGCAACTGCGTATTCTTGCCACTGTTTGTTCTTGTGAGAGTCCGCGTAGTCGCAAACACCACGAATGACTAGACATGGAAAATCTTGCAGTCCAGCAGCCTCCATCTCGAAACAGAGCACTCCAAGCTCTTTGCTTAGTTTGTCGCGTGTCTCTCCATGCTTAATCACCTGATCGCCCTAGGCAATATTGCCGTAATGAATGACTGGATGGGTATCATCTCTGTCTTCCCGCTGAATCATCTGCTTGTGATCACACGTATCACAAGTAGAGTCTGGATTGACGTGGTCGTAGTCTGCTTGGAAGAGGTAATCGTGGAGAGTGCCCTGATAGCTGAATTTCTTCTTCATGACTTTTGGGCTTTTGTTGATAAGCTCAGACACAAATTGGGGGATTCTGCTGTCTTCGCTCATGTGATCGGCCTGGAGACGACCCAGGGCGGCTAATAGGACCTGGGGTGGTGTGTTGAGCGATCCTGTACGTTGGAACTCTCCCTCCTGCACTATCTTCCCCCGATTGTGTTGGATGCTACCCCCGCTGGATCCAGTGGGTTGGCTAACCACGATGTCTCCCAGCCGGATGTCATGTTTTCGCGACGGTACACCCCCGCCGATTCCAACCATCAAGCCGAACCGGATTGACTTGAAGGTCCGCAGCAAGTCCTTCGCGACTGTGGCAGCTGGTGTCGTTCCATAGATGCCTGCAGGCAGGCAGGCGATGACGACATTGTGGCCTTGCACCTGACCCAGGACGTAGCTGTTATGATCGGCTGGATCCTGCTGGGCTAGATTCGGATGAACCTGGTCAAGCATCCCTTTCGCAGCAGCCATCTCCAACGGAAGGGCACAGACCCAGCCTACTCGATAGTCCTCAATTGCAATATGGACATTTCTCTCTGGCCGATCAATACCACGATCTCTTTTTTTTCGGGGTTGACGGTCGCCAGCACTGGAATCTTTCAAGGACGTTAGAGATGCCTGCTAGGGACTGGCGACCGGGGGCTCACCAGGCTCCAAGCTGCAGTCACGCTTAAGCGGGCCACTGTTGCTGTCTACGCTGCTCTTATTGTTGTCATCGCCTGCCCTTTTGGCGTTAGGATCGTCCATCTTTTGTTGTTTAGCTGCTAGCAATCATATCTTCAAGCTGAGTTTTGGCGGGTAAACTACGTAGGAGGTGTGAAGGACTGAAACTCTGGCTCCTCGGGGCTTGAACAGATCACAGACGCACTGATTCCAGAGCCTCACGAGGGCTAGATCAGCCCCACGTTAATTGCACAATGCTGATAAATGGCGGCAGTTCAGGGTTCGACCCCCCATTGTTTCACTTCGACCTATCATATTCTGAAGATCACCTTACCAAGATGCATTGATGCCTGAGGTAAATCTGCCAAGGCTAAATGCGCAGGCAGCAGCGCTTATTCATTAAATCTGCCTTGCTACCTATGCAGGCCAAGGACTCATGGAGCCACCAGAACATGCCTGGGCATCAGCATTGAGGCATAGTTATCGCGAAGACAGGTGACACAACGTCAATAGTTTCCACAGCCCCAGTCTCAAACCCCTTTTTCAAGCCTCACTTCCAGCAAGACACTTGGCCATCATAGCTATTAGTAGATTTATGCGTTTGAGTTCACCAGCATTTCGCCATGTTTTATGTGGCCAAGTCTGCCTGCTTTGTCGTCCAGTGAGCTTATCGCTGCCACGTGGCTCCAATAGCGCCATTTGACCTGGTCCGCACCCATCACTGCATTGTCACGCACTCTGCTAACTACATAATCAGCAGCTAGGCTAATTCGTTGGTTTATTTGTATCGATGACATTTTTTGTCATCCAGGCGGCACAATATCAAATTGGTTCATCGTGCTAAGTTTGTCTTTCAAGTCAGGGACATTCCTTTTTTTGTCACTAATTCCGACGAAGAGCAGCGTGCGAGTGGTGCAGCCCCTTAGATGCTGGATTTGAGGTCACTCCAACTGTCTCTTCATGCTTGCCAAGCCAAGTCTTGGTTCTCGTTTTCTCGGTGACATACCACCGCATTGTGGATGTAAGGGTCTAGGACAAGGTCGATGCCATTGGTCTAGCCTACTATTACGAGTACAATAAATCTTCTTGGATGCCATCAATTCAAGGAAACTTTCTCTCAGCTTTATCAAGTCCCGAGGAAATCAAAGCTGGGTCCCGAGATGCGTTCGGGAACATCAAGATTCCAATGCTTGAACACTATCCACAGACAACGACAATCGATGCCGACGGCTGGTACAACGTCAGCCACAATGGTTCGGGTACGATTTGGTCGGCAATTATGGGCATCCCTGTTGCAACAGAGGGGGGGTTTTCTCAAGAGTATAATTACTCTTTCTCCTTAGATACTTCCTACATGACTGCAGACTGCTCACTCAAGCGCGAAGCATCAACGAACCTCTCAAGCTGGAACAACTACAGAAAAGCCCAACGATTTAATTCTGGTAGGACTCTGGTCATCAAGCCAACGCTAGGTCGCTTCACGTTTAGCAAAACGCCTATGGATCTCATACTCGAGGCGTACCACAATGGAAAGGTCACCAATGGTACGTGTATTCTTACAACGATGCATGCCGAAGTTGATGTAGCTTGCCAGGGGTCCGCTTGTGGTGCTCGTCGCATTAGACGAATTGAGAAGCCGGAGAACATGACAGTGTTGACGGTACTGGATAGCATTATAGCGGAAGGGTCTCAGAAAATGCAATCGGGGACGATTCTCGGCGCATTTATGGAAACATTCATCATTATTACCCAAACGCCATGGGAGGCCCAGGGTGTGGGAATGTACAAATCATTCCCCTCACCATTAGAGACGTACTTCACCCACCCGAGTAACCCCTTTTCTGCTCCAGGTATTGGCTCTTGGAGTGGGACAGATATCTACCAAGTCGGCGACGCGGTGTTCTCGCAAAGACTTTCCCAGCTTCTCAACACATTCTGGCTTTCTTCAGTGTCTTCTTCCAGACTCACTGGGGGCTTCGATTTTCAAACGACTCCAAATACCTCAAACGTTATTGCCCAAAATACCACGGGTACAAGAACGCCGGATCACTTGGTGATGCGGGTCAACAGGCTTTGGATTTCTATTTTATTCATCGCCTCAACAGTCATGCTTGCTTCGGGTATTGCGGCTAGCATTTTTGGCTGTCTGAGACGGGGTCCCGACGTACTAGATCGAGCTACCTACTTTCTGAGGGACAGTCCACACGTCAACCTCGCACAACAGAACTCACTGGAAGATGGAACCAGTCAGGTCAAGAGGACAAAAAGCCTGCGTGTTTGTGTTGGCGATATCAGGCCTACGGAAGAAACTGGCTACGTCGCATTCGGAACAGTCGGAGAGACCATGCCGTTGAGTTGGCAAGAAAAGGACAGGCGTTATGCGTGATTTCTAGGTCAGGTACGTGGGTCGACATGCGGTATGTCGCGTGTTCTTCGCGGCAATTTGAAAGAGTTTTGCTAAATGGGCAGTGTCACTTAGTTATCCGGGTAGTGCCCACCACATACTTGCGTAATCCGTATATGCTCAGAACCCCTGTTTTCCCTGTGCTAAAGCGAGTAAGGAACTTGTGTTCGTTATTAGTGCCGTCGTCTTCTATTGTCATCTCCTATCGTCGTTTCATATCGTCGTATTCTGTCATCGTCGTCTATCTTGTGATAAAGAACTAGGTGCGCCTCGATTGGAGGCATGGGGAATACTGCCCGGATAGGCAATTGACGCTGCCCGGTAGCAAAACTCATTTGGAAATGCAATTGATACTACGTTAGCTCAGCGTGAAGATACCGAATACGATGTCTATGTCTACTTCAGGCCTCTTATGTTGGCAATGACCCGTTCATAATCCCCCACTGCCCTCCCTTTCCTCAACATAAAATCCTGGGAGACCACTACTCCGCTTGGGGTCTTAAACTCCATGTAGTCCACTGGCTCGAACCCGTACTTCTCATAGACCGCCTTCGCCTTGGACATAGACTCCAGAAACGCTATTGAGCCCCCTTCATCGGCCTTCTCACATCCCCATCGCAGCAATGGCGTCGCCGCACCCTTCCCTTGGTGTTCTTTGCGGCAAACAATGAGTTCGAGATACCAGTGCCTCACATCGCCAAGGATAGCCGCATGCTTCCTCCCAATACCGCCAAAGAACTCGTTTGCAAAGTCCGGGTTACCCTCCTGTGGCCAAACGTCTTCCGGCGGCGGTGGCTCCACATTCACTTCGCCGTCCTTGGCTGGATGCACCCATTTCGCCCAGGCAATGACCAGCTCCGGGTCCTCCACGTGGTCGGGGTCCGTGACGACGAACACGCTGCAGCGCGGGTCTGTCGCTTCATCAGCGAAGGCTTTGAGGAGAAAGTCGCGACACTCTTGCGAGCTTGCTGGAAAGCACGTTGCGGCGACGGGGTTGTCGCTGAAAGCGGAGAGATAGACGGCGGTTAGGGCCGGCCCGTCCGCGGTTGTTGCGGGGCGCATTTTCAGCGGCATTTTGGGCGGCAGTAACAGGCCGCTGGAAAAGGCGGCGGTCTGGGGAAAGTTAGGTGCTTGTCTCGGCTTCAATTCCGAAGACGACAACCTTGATCGAGGGAAAGGTAGGCGAAGTTAAGTGGGAGTTTGATGTTTGTGATAGCGTGGACAATGCGCTTCTTTGTCCACGTACGAATTCAACATCGGCGCAAGGAGCTTCTGCTTTTGGTTTAAGCCGTGGGTACTGCAGCCGTTTTGGAAATTTTAGTGTTGGGCTACAGGCTCTAGATTTGATCAGATTGTGAAACTCCACACTGAAAAGCTCCCACTGTGTGTCCAGTCAGACTGTCCTACACCGCTTTGCCCTCCTTTCATGGTAATGAATGTCTGCTAAAGGTGTGAAAACCATTCTCTCGACGGGAACGCCATTTTTCCATCATCTTCTCCTGAATCCATGCCTGTGACTCTGATAATTTGACAGAAAGGATGATCCAAATCAACAACAACCCAGTCACAGGTAAAGTAATTGCCCAAAAGATACCAAACAGCCTTTCCCCAGCTGCAAAGTCGCCTCCCATTGAGAAGATGGCTGATACCACAGAAAAGGGAACGGCTACTGTTGCAAGTTTTGTGAGCTGGCCAGCGCTTCTCGCTTGACGATGAGCGGCATAAGCATTCAGCAACTGAGCTCGCGTTACGTAGTTTTCCATGAAAAGTCCGATCCTGAGTTCAAGCTCCTGCAACTTTTCATTGATCGCTTTCCAGCGTCTTTGTTCCAAGACCATGTGCGCCTGAACTCGGTTATCGACCTTTCCATTGACAACAGCTGCGAGGTCGTAGTCAAAACCGTCTAGGTCCGTATTAACAGCCAGAAATGCATCCATCATGTGCCGGATACTTTGCTTCCGGCTCCAAGTGTTTTGAAGTTCCAGCATAGCGTCTTGGTAGCCTTTGCCATCAACTCCAATGTTACTTTCCAAGCGATCAACGTATTGTTCAACATTGAAGTCAGCCCACTCCCACTCGTTACGGTCGTCAAGTAACGCATCATTGATTTGACTGGTGAGACGAAAAGTTTCCTCGTTCTACATAGAATATACCAGGTTGCGTATCAGAATGGTTGCAACAAAAGGGTCCTTGAGATTTTTCTCGGCGGCAAGGTCTTGCTTGGACTCGCTGTCCTCCGGATTGAGGCAATTGTTCTGAGTGCAGCGGCCGTCGTTAGGCCTGAAATTGTTCTCCATATTGATGACGTCGGTAAATTCTCCGTAAGCTGCGTTGAGAACGTCGAACGGAACACAAAGATGCGGATTTGGGACATCAGAGCCCCTTCCGCTGACTTTGACAAACTTGAAAATATCTTTTCTCACATAGGAGCTGTCTTTGGCAAAGATCCGCGTTCCAACCTCGTGCAATCGAAGGCAAGTCAGCTGAGGATCCACGAGAACCACGGCTACAACACCTTCACATTAGCCAGAAGTCGTTTCTCTGGGAATGAACATACCTGTCCAACCGTTATCATGCTTCTTTCCCCAGAAGGATATGAAACCTTCAAATCTCACAATTGAATCATGCTCATTCACTTGCTGACTGAAACGGTCGAATGCTCCTGTTTCGATATAGTATTCTCCCGTTTCTCGGTTGTCATCATGGGGGAGAAACCTCGTCTGCGGAACAGGTACCCTCCAATAGGTTGAACGTCCTTGATGATTTAACATGCCATCGACCGTGTTCAGGTGACACGTTCCATCGCAGTGAGCAAGCCAGAACTCAGGTGGAATATCTAATTCCACACCCAAGAGCTCTGCGAATCGCGGGTCCACGTCTTCCAGAAGAATGAGCCGTCGGAAAGGCTCCGAAGATTCATTGTCACGTCCCTGGTCATAGTGATAAAAGATCTCTTTTTGGTTTCCCTGAAAGTTGGACGGGCCAACATGTCCCGAGAAAACACGTACGGAAACTTTGGGGAAATTGTACCGATAGATCTCCCGTTGCCATGGATGTCTGAACGTGTCTTTGACAAGGCCGTTGTTGACTAATTCGTGGATTCGTTTCTCGTACTGTTCCGCTGCTGTGAGCATCTCGAGATTGTCTCCCCAAAACTCTTCCCGGTCTAAAAACATGCCGATTTAGTAGTCTACCAGCGAGGAAGTAAAGAAGATGACTGACCTTGCGGGACGAAGTAGTCTGACATGGCTAAATGCTGGATGATTCACTTTTGATGTTGTGCTCACTAACTAGCCATAAAACCGTCGGTCAGCAGCGATTTAAAGGTAGAGCCAAATACCAAAAAAAGACCATTATGCTCCGTAACGCGCTATTTGTGAGCAAGCGATTCTCGTGGGCTTTGTTCTGAAACGGGTAACTATTGCGACTTTTCTGATAGGTGATACGCCGTACAACATAAGATCTACGATGAGGGGGGCTGAAGATCGTCGCAAAGGCATCCAGCCCGCCTATCGGCCTAGATTCAGTGCAATATTGGACATTACTGTGGGTATGTCTTACTGTAAACAACGACACCTGACGGAATAAGTGGACTACTTTTTGATTTAAAGTATCACCTTGCATTCAGCTGAAGAGACCATGGCTGAATGTAAGTGAGCCTTATCTTGAGGTTGGATCGTGTGAGAATTGAGAACAGAAAGACCTGGGAATAGCCCGATGAAATGTCCCGACTCTCGACACCGAGTTTACATTGCGCAGGAGTCTTGAAGGTTCAACAATTTCTTAAGCGGCTTCTTAGGGCTTAGATGAGTATTGCTGTACCTGTAAGTTAACCAGAAATAAATCAATCGCCGCAGCCTCCATAGTAGTCGTTACTTGATGTGCTTGCTGGAGAAACACAAGACCGAAAACTCCTTTGCACAGCTGTGCGTCAAAACGCTACATCAACAATTGGTTTCCTTGAAGGAGGCAACCTTTTACGCGGTTGATGCTGACACACGATGATTGGCGGTTGGGAGCCCTTTTCCTGTTCTCGTTCTTCATCTTCCAGAGTACAAACGTCCAGGGTGCCCACCCAAGGTGCCCAATCGTTCATCCTGGCGTTGGGCATCGAATGGTGCGTTTCAGCTGCTCTGCGCAGGACTTTTGTATCCATCAACTCGAGTTGACATATGATTGCCAACACTAGAAACTGCATTTGCGCTAACGCTGTTCAAGGGTTCTATAGTTCTAACGTTTCCTTTTCAAAGCTTCTCTGTCACTGTCACATAGAATGAGGAAAACAACGTCAACCGCGGTTATTTAACCCGTATTCGCTGATAATTCCTATCCTGGACCCTCCATATCCACTAACATAACCACTGACCTACCCAAGTCGGTATGGACGGCATGAAGTACGTTGGACCACATTTCCTACCCACGGCGCGCCCATCATGTTAATAGAGGCTCGCAGAAGACCCTGGAACCAAGCAGAATACCAAGCCAATAGCCGATAAATCAGCTGCATGTCTCATTACATCTCGCTGAGCTGAGGCCGCAAGCATCAGATTACCACTAGAGCCACGTCACTACTGATACACAACACGGCCGCAGCTGCCCTCACCTGCCTGACCTTCCAGCATAACGCTAAACGCGATTACCAAGTAGGTATCGCAAAGGCAGCTTCAAAGGCAGCTTCATGCGCAGCTGGAGCGATCAAATAATCGATTACGGTTGCATCGCGTGAGTCAACCAGGCAGTCAATACGTAAGGAATTGAGCATGCACACAAGTCGCGATTAGAAGGCTATTGCCCTGGAATATGTCCTAAAAATGCACTAAAGGTCTCTCTGATGCGGGGTATTGCGTGACAGGACCCCTCGGCTACATGCGGCTCACAACAACGCAGTGATATTCTGCGATAAGCTCTGCGGAAATCACGGCGAAGTGCCAGAGTGGTGAATGGGATTGACTCGAATTACCCCCGATATCAATTGGCTTCGGCCGCGCAAGTTCGAATCTTGTCTTCGTCGATTTCTTTTGCTGTTTTGCTACCCTTTTTATACCACAAGCTGAAGCAGTGATCATGTGACTCTGAAACTGTGCTTTTATTGTATGTTTTTCTAAAGTAAAGTGAATTTGCGCGGCGGCCAGTCTGACTCGGTTGTGGAGAGTGATGCGGTGCATTCAGGATGAGGGATCTGGCGCACTGACGACCTCAACAACCTCGACCTTGCAAGACGCCCACGCTATTAGCGAGGCCTTCCAGGTGGACACACCTCAGTTGGCAGAGTGCCATCATCCATGTAGTAGCCGCCTTGTCCAGCACATACTGTGCAGTATTTATTCCACCTTTGGGACACCCATCATCGGCGAATCTGAAAACTTCTACTATTTACACTTCAAATCGGGTACCTTAAGAGCTGTTTGTATGGTCTTAGGTCAAACATCGCCCAGTCAAAAGAAATGAAATCCTTATTGTACACGAGTCGACAGCCAACCCTCTGTATTTTCAGGCAAATGAGTGCCTTTAGCAGACGTGGGGGCTTAAGGACGCTTAGCCATCGTCACGCGTCGTCTCTGGTTTGATCTGCAGTCTTTCACCCATCGTCAATAATGCTTCCCACACTATGACACCGTTAAGTTATTGTCTCTGGGCTCGTTGTTGACACAGGAAGCTTTGAGAGTTCCAGAAAGACTGATGTCCGTGTGTCCTTACTCTTCGTCTGACTCTTCCGACTGATCTTCCGGCTTCTGTCCGTATACAACGTGGCTATCGACATATCAGCGCCTCCATCACAAGCGAAATGATCATCGGCAATGGCTGGTCCACATACTGATCGAACATAGCGTGGAGTGCGTTGCTCTTAATCTCTTGCCGGATCTTCGCCAGCATCACAAGGACTTCGTCCTTCGTCTGTCCTAAGACATCGCAAAAGAGCTTAAGAGAAAAGGCCTCTAACCCGTCCAGTGTTCGAATCAGGTTCAGCATGCCGACCTCTCTGTGGTGAGGGTCCTTAGCCCAGGGACCGACAGGGAAATTGAATTTAGAGTGCTTCACGTTCTGGAACCCAGCGCCCTTATCCCACTCTTCTAGCTTCAGTCCTGGGCGGCCGGTTCGACCCATAGACTCACAAGCGTCCACGAACTGCTTGTTCCACTTGCGCGTAGCATGCTCCTCGGTATATGTTCCGTCGTCTGAATAGTACTCAGAGTTCAGATCCTGGAACTCAGCCCAGCCCCCAGGGTTGAGATATCTGAAAATTCACTGCACTTAGATGCAATCTTGTTCCAAAGCTCACGGGAGGAGTCTAAACTTACTTGAAAACATTGCGAACTAACTTGGGCCAATCGGCGATAGCGACAAGCATATGTCTAACGAATATGTAGTCGTATTTTTTGACTCCAGCCCACGAACTCTCAATGTCATCAATCTCAAACTTGACGTTGGGGGGCACCCTAGGTATGTCAGTCTAGATTCTAAACGCGGACGACTTGCCGCTCATTATTCATTACCATCCGGGCTGGATAGCGCTCAAGTCATTGCCGATGATCTGCCCCCATGTTAGCGGTAGCGCAGTGAGCGCAGCCCCTCGAAGCACTTCACCTCGGCGTTTGGGAAAACGTCGGCCATCTCGATAGTTCCTGTACAATGAAAGCTAACCCCGTGCTATCACTTCGCTTGAAAGCAGGTGTCAATACTCACAAATGCCGATCCCAGTGCCAATGTCAAGTATTCTCTGAACCTTGTCTTTCTCAAGCGGGGCAAGATAGAGTCTGTTTCCAATTGCCTTCACTGCCATGGCATGGGTCACCTCCAAGCGCTCCATCTCCAACTGGAATCATCAGGAATGTGTAATCCCTTATTATCATGATAACCTACATTATCGTTCGGGAGTACGTAGGCTACTTTGGTGTTAGGTAAACACGTAGTGACCACGTATCTAATCCGAGACTCACCTCCTCGGCGAAAAGCATGATATCTTCGTTCATAGTCAACTGGATAGTCAACGATGCTCGATGAAAGCGATTTTGTGCATGTGGTGCTGAGACGGTCAGCGAAAGGGAATGATATTCTTTGACAAAGCAAGCTTACATTTGCTCGTCGATAGAAGAGCCGTGAACATCCTATTGTCATCAGAATATTGATTGACGTGCAGCATCGAGTATGCGGCTAAACTTACAACGGCATCATCAACTTTGAGCAATGCCGGTTCAACGGTCGAAAGTTCGTTCAGCACTGGAGTTGTTCCTGTTTCAGAAGTAGGGTTTTCAGCGGCCGACACCGGGTTCTGCGCGGGCGTGGGAGCACTATGGCGAGTACACTCGTTGGTGATTCCCATACTTGAGGCCTGACGTTGCATTTCTGGATTTGAAAGAAGAGACCACTTGTTTGGTGGAGGAGTGAACGTAAAGGAGAGACAGAAGAAAGCCAGAAAACAGCAGTCGGAAAGAACATTCTTTTTAGCATGGGCATTTCTCAACCAACGCATCGACTGACAGACCCGCTGTTGGAACGGCATAAAACCTGACCAAACATAAAACAATCTTCCTGCACCCAGCTTTGCTGCCGCTGCACCAACCGTTTAGGACCAATTAGAAAGGGTTTTCCTACAGGTTGCTTTCAACCAGAACGTCGATTTGGGCAACACGTCCGCTCGACTGCGCAACTTCCCCTCTTCGCCAAGATTATGTGCGGATTGGCCGACGCAAGTATCATGATCGTATCGGAATTCGTGTCCGGCTCCGCGGGTTATGGCGGTCTTATGTTGCGCCGCTTCAATCGCCAAGCTTCCATGTCGCTATGGCATTATCATTTCACCGATTGCAAGCAGAACTCGGGACGTCGTGCTATTTGGTTATCTGATTGAGTAACATGACAATAGTTCGAAACTCTACATGGTCTAATAACCCATATATCCCAAACGCATTGCTATGGCCTTTTGTCAGTTTAAGCATGCTTTCTGACAATGAGATTCATCACCACTCCCTAAAAGGAGAATAAAGGAAAGGGTCCTCCTCAGGTGCATAGTTGGCTTAGCACTCAGTGGTCTCAAATGCTCCTGTGGTGAAAGTGCCCGCACCGGTGGTGTCCAGGCGAAGGAAGCTCCTGTCCGGTACAGATCCTGGCGAGTTATACCCGACTTGAACGGAGAAGTTGTTACCGTTCCGCAAATTTTGAACACCGACAGTTGCACTCTCGCCCTTATCGTACGAAGTGTAGTAACGGTAAGTGACAATGCCAGGCTGGGCCTCCTCAAAGGTGGCGGTGAAGTGGTAGAATTGGCTTGGCTCGCCGAAGTGCACGGCCACCCACTCGAAGGTGACGTTCCGGCTGCCAGCATCGGAACCAAAGACCTGGTATTGGACGGCTTGGCTCGGGGTCTGGATGTACAGGTCATCCCAATATGGCAAAATGGAAACGGGCGGAATTTCACTGGAGGGAAGCGGCTCGTTACTGTATTCGCCAGAGCCAGAGTAAAGCGAGAGAAACCCGTTGCTGCTGGCATAGATGGTCGTTTCATAAGATCCGAAAACGCCGATGGGGAAGGGAAGTAAGGCGCTCGCGAAAAGATCATCGCCCCCAGAGATCAGAGAAGTGGGACTGGGCAAGACGGGAGTAGGAGTGCAGGTGCTGCCGATGCTGACCGTAGTGCTGTCGGCGGAGGGAGTAGTAGAGGTCGAGGAGGACTCGACAGGCGTAGCGGAGCTGGGAGATGGGGTCTCGGTGGCTGAAAATCCTGTACTAGTCGACGTGTCTGTGGATGATGCCTCTGCGGAAGACGCCTCAGTAGAGGAAGCCTCCGCAGAAGACTCCACAGACGACGCCACTGCAGACGTGATTGTGGATGTCCGAGTTGACGAAGATACTTGAGTGATCGTGACGGATGACGAAGAGCTCTCTGCCACCGAAGAGCTCTCTACAGCAGAAGAGCTGACAACTACCGAGGAGCTCTGACCACTGCGGGTAACTGTAACAATCGGAGTCGCCGCTGTGACAGTAACGGTGGTAGGCAAGATACCGGAGAAACACTGACAAGCCGACCAATACGCGGATGCATCGGCGCAGGCGCTCGCGTAGGCGGGAACAGCACCGGTGATGGCAGGAGCTGCCTGTCGGGGCGCGTGAACGTTCCTACGGGCAACGGGGTTCGCAGTGACAGTCACAGCCCTTTGCTTATATTAGCTTCTGTCATCCAAACGCAGAATTATACGGATAGTCTACCCTGGAGTGACTGTGACTGTGGTGGACACGAAAGCCTCGCATAGAGACTGGCGGGCAGCAAAGGGAGGGCTCTGCCGGGCTGTTCCAGCGACGGCGCGGCCACAGTTGTTGTTACAAATGGCCGCGGACACGAGCGAGGGAGTGCCAAGGAAGGCTACGATGACCGAAAAGGTCTTCATGATGGTGCAAAGAATGGATAGATGTCAAGATGTGAAGAAGTGTAAGTCGATGGGTGAACGAATGAACCGAAAGACTGCGTGTAGATGAATTGATGAAGGGAGAAAAAAGGGCGAAAGGTCCTCCTTTTAAATAGTTTATTCCATGGAAGCACTTTCTGGCCGTGACGTTTTGGCCGGTTATCCTCAGCCAGGGATGGAGACTTTGAGAAACACGACAGAATGCTTGAGCCTTACGGCTGAATCGACATGCATCGCGCTGCCCTTGAAACATCTTGACCAAGGGCTAGCTGAGGAGTCATGGTTAGATTTGTCCCAAGGAATTGGTTTGCCTTCATTTCAGAAACTTCAGGGCAACCTACGCGCTCAAACACAGTAAAAGAATGCGCGTAGTCTTCAGCCCTGCGAAGCCCGATGCCAGGATGATTGACACATGCTGATGGTGACATCAATCTAGCGGTGCTACCCGAATAACCTTAAAAATGACCTCACACATAGGACTCTAGGCGAATCTCTGGGTTTCGGTGTTGCGAGAGGTGGCTTCCTAAGGGGGCGGCTGAAAGCACCTCCTAGCCTTAGCCCCGTCAGCGTCGTTCGACTCTACATTCTTAGACGCTTCCCTGAAACTGTTCAGAGACCTATGCGATGCCACACCACGCATTGAAAAAGGTTTGAAAACCAGTCACGCACGTCAAGGCTTCTCTGATGCCAGAGAATGAAGCTGAAAAATGAGCCTGCCATTTTTGACGAACTCATCGAGCGCGCCATCTCAGGAACTTGTGAATAGGTTACCGGTATGGATGAAAATTAAGTCCGGAATAGGTTGTATGTGGTTACTTTCGTGGCGAAGACTGGGTTCCAGGCATCACCTCAGCTAGTTCAAGCACATTTCCGCAGGACATGTTATGGACTGGTAAATGGACCCTTAAAAGATACATTCTGACAACGGTCCCTTGACAAGGCTGCCTGCGGCTTCGAGATACTGGCCCTACAACGTCACATAACCCTTGTTATGCGGGGACCATCACGGCTCTCTACATATTTCAAGGGCAAGTGGCAGTGGCCTCCCTGAGAAGATAGAAACAACGAAAGAGCCCGAGCATCCTTCCGCCGTGGGATTAGAACGGTGAAAGTTGTGGTAATGTTCAATATTAGAACCTGAAGATCAGAACCCATGATGTAGAAAAACGAACGGAAGTGCCCGTGAAATTGATATTGATAAATGAATATTCCATCGCTATGCCGCCTTTTGCCCAACCCAAGAACAAAACACCATGTATGTATGCACGCTATCATCATTCAATGCCTCTTTCACTTGTGCCAGAAACCCCTGAATCTGAGTCTCCGTCATTCCCAAGCTTGAGAACGGTTTCACACCTGCTGCTCCTAGAAAATCTGCGCACACCTGACGCATTTGCCTTCCCACGTGCTCTTGCAATTCGTTGTCATGAGCCCAGGGGCCGATTGGTATCTTGTACGTCCTGCATTGCACATTTATAAACCCAGCTTGGTGCAAGAGTTCTCCCGTCCTTGCTGCTATTCGAAGGTCACATGCAGCTCGCTGCTGGGCCGTCTGCAGATGTGCCCAGAATTCGGTGACAGGAAAGTCGCCCGGCATTGTACCGTCGTCACATGACAAGACGGCATTAAAGTCTTGGGTTTCTATCCAGCCCCCTGGCTTTAAGTGACTGGTGACAATTGTTAGATGCGGGGGTGATGAGGTGATTGGATACAAAAGAACCAGAATAAACTAACTTGTACGCCTTATCAAGTATCATTGAAGCATTGGCTATATATGGAAGGAAGTCTCGAGCATGTATAAAGTCGAAGTCATTGCTTATCTGATAAAGCATAGCATGAGAGACGGCCTCCGGTATGAAATTGGTAAATTCTCATGAGGGTTTCAGGTACTCACAGGATCTACCCATTCATCTCCAATGTCGTCTATTAAAAAGTCCACATTTCCTGGAATCCTAAAAGCTCTGAGTGGTTGTCCTCCTGCAAGTAATGGCCAGATAGTACTTACATATCTGGTTGTATTGGAGACAAATCTACGGCGACGACCTGCGCCCCAGGATATGTGTCTGCGACTAGATTGGACAGAATTTAGTCCCAAGATGCAACAGGCCATTGACGAAGACTCTTGTTACCTTCAATTGCCCAGACGCCTGCAGTGATATTGAATGTCAGCTCATGTCGCAAACACTTCACACACTTTGCTCTCACTTACCTACGCCGGTGCCTAAATCGAGAATCTTCTGCGGGTGACTCCCGATCGGCGCATGGAAACGTCGGCCCTCGGTCACACGCGTAATCATATCATGCTTCAGATATTCTCTTCCTTGCTCAATCATGTCGTTCGGAAAGGGGTATTTCCCATCTCTGTAGCGGTGATATCTGTTGATTTCCATCAGCTCGAAGACTCCAGGCAACAGGCGGTGAAGTCTGAACATGCGCCGAATGGGAATATTCGTACCGTCTGCCTCCGTAATGAACATGGTTCTTTATTGACGAAGTCATAGACTTCCACCCATCCGGCTCCGCGCTGAACAGGAGGTAGTCGTCATCGTCGCCGATGCCCTCGTCGTCGG